CGAATATTTCAATTTTGTTAAAATGCGATAATAACAATAATTGATGCAATAACTTAAAGCTATATATATAAATGAAGTATAAACGTACGTGGAAAAATTTTTTAGGAAGACGTACGCAAATCATAAATCATTTCCATAATTAAATTAAGCATATTTTGTTTTGATTTTTTGACGTACGTATATTACGTCTTTGTACTTCAACGTAATTCCTACGTAATGCGAGACGGAAGATCGCTTCAAATTTCAAAAAAAAAAAATTTGGGTAAGATATATGTTAGTTGACAGCTTCAACAACCATAGAATTTCATGGGTAATTTTCTAAATTACTCATACATTTATCCATGTATAACCCTACAAATATCCTATATGTATAACAATATAGCTTCCTTACCTGATGGGTAATTTACCCAACCCAAAAGATAACTTGGTAAAATTTACTAATTTACTAAGAGAAATTCCTGATTATTCACTCTCTTCAATTCTTCATACTCACACTCTCTTTTCACAAAACTTTTACCGTATAACTGCTATCATATTTTTATGCACTATTTCTTCCATGTGTAGCGAAATGGTTTTCTTTTCAAATAGGTTCTAAGCGCATTTTCAAATGAAAACAGGGGAATTGTTTTTGTTCTCGATTGTTTTAAGTGTAATTTGTATCATTGATATTATTCACATTTCTTATCATTCTTTGCTCTCTACTCGTTTCTAATGCTGTTTGTATATTACTCTCAATCTCTACTGCAACTAAATAGGGCAGTATTAATTTGCCTAATTTCTGATTATTAATTTATTGTTTTATGGCTTAAAAAATTTGTCATTATGTTTAGCTTATGATTGTATCAATTTTTGATATGTATTCTTCAGTTCGATAATATAAATTGTTCTTCACTTTGACAGTAATTTTTTTATGAAATAGTTTTTATATCATAAAAAATCTATTATATGTAAGAAAATGGCATTATTACATATTCGTCTATTTATTTTCCTTTTTTTTTTCGACTTTAATGAAATTTCAATTCTTTGTGTAATTACAGGAAAGCTATGTTAAAACAACGAGGTACAGTGAAGAAAGTCAAATTGATTAGCGAAAAAAGAAGGAGTGAAATATGGGGAAAATTTCTGACGCAGCAAGGTGATAATCGATTTAGCTGGTTAAATTTAATAAACGATTAAGGCAAATAGTTTGTAACTAATTAATGTTTGAAATTGTTATCATAGTTTTTTACATCATAATTATCCTGCGATAAAATCCTGGTATTTTAACACGAGGTTTTTATGGATTACTGGAGCGTTTTTGGTTGAAAGTTACATTAGTTTGAACGCATTTCTTCCAGGCAAGACAAAACTAAAATTCTCAAAATCAAATTTTGCAAAGAAGAGACACGTTAAGCACGAGTAAAAATTTTCAGGCGAATACACGGACTGGTATTGTATCATTCGGAAAAACTGTATATTGATGCGCCAGATGTATCAGAATTCACCGATATTATATTCCTGTGGATTTCGCAATAGCTGTACTATTGTCGATGCTTGCAGTCTACCATTTCAAGGTAAATTATGGCAATTCACTATGACCGCTAGCGTTTCCTACTTGTATCGACTGTAAGCATGATTCTTGGCGCAGATGACTTTTGGTTATTCTTCAAAAGAAGATTGAAACCTTCGTCTTCCGTGAATTGTCTCACGAAATTCTTTGTCTACATCGAGAAATGAAAAATCAAATCTAAATAGTGTGCGCACAAATTTTTCATTTTAGACCAAAGCTTCGGAGTGATAATGGCTGTGAACGATGAGCAAAATGAAGAATATTTTCTGGCATATTATAGCATCAAAATGAGTAGAATTGTTAAGAAAATATTAATGCGCAAAAAGGTTTTATTCATTAACTTGAAAATTTAGTGTCAAGTTAGTAATAGTTTACGATTTAAAATTATTTAAAGGACTAAATTGGGGGAGACTGAAGGAAAGAATTCGGAGAGAGGAGTAAGTTTAAATTAAAACATGGTTTTTTTTTTGACGCATTTGGTTTTTTCTACGCTTGGAAGGTTTCCCATTATAACGAGTAAGGTTCCAAACAGGGAACTCGTCGTAAAAATATGAAGGTTTTGGAAATTCAGCTTACTGCTGCAATTGGAAGAATTATTTTCAGATCACTAAAGTTCTGACAGTTTTGGATGCAACAAAAAAGAGTGAAATTAAATGTTTGCATGAAAATTTAAAGGATTTTTCACACCTCGTAGCAGTTGGCACCTACGGTGGAGATTGTTTACTGATACATTTCGGAATCGATTTACCCAATGTAACTGATCGAGAATTGAGGAATCCACCCTTTTCTAGCAATTTATGCAGTAAGTTTTCAGTGCAACATCGAATCAATGGTTGTTTTTGATAAAGTGCAAAAATGAACAGATCTATTTGTCTTTCGAAATATTAGCCTAATATAAAGATAAAGGGGTAAAAAAACTGCGCTTGCCATTCACGTCAGTTCTTCAAAATAGAGTAAATGTTTCAATACCGAGGAGACTAAGGAGTTGATGGTTAGTATACCATTCCCACCTTGTAAGATATTACAAAAAAAATCTGAGATACTCTTGATCGACTTTTTTGCCTGATGAAATTTGTCTATTTATTTTTTTGCAGAACCCTATATATCTGATGGACGATTTAATTTTGTGGCCAATAATGGTGCAATGTATCCCGTTAGTGTTGGTAGGTGCATCAAATGGAAGAGATTAAAAAACTCATATCTTTCGGTTACCAAATTTTGAAATGTTGCTAATAAGCAGTTGAATTACATCAGCTTTACAAACTTTTGTTGCGAGAATTCTTTCAGGACATTGTACTTTAACTAGCTTTTCATTTGGATTGTCAAACACAAATGGATATATTTTTGTTTTAAATTATGATCATTGCTTATCTTTTCTGTATTCTAGAAGAAATACATGTCACAGCAATAACTTACTTGGAACGATGCAAAACGATTGCCATCGGCTTTTCTTGTGGTGCTTTCATTACCGTTAATCTTGTTAATGGCAATGAGTAAGTTTGTCGTTAAACATGTATTTGATATTCATGGAAATGTTGGAACTGCTATCCATTAGGCATTTGCTTGTGATGGCTGAAACTTTCGTAGTTATTTACGAATCTTCTAGAAATACCCGGCCATTCTATGTAATGTTTTTTAATAGCAGCATGATCGCGCATCACACGAAGCATACATAGCTTCTCGAAAAAAGATTGATTCACGGTATCAACCGTTCAATCACTTCTTTTCGGCCGTTCGGTGATTATAATTATTGTTTCATGCATTAGTGATAGGGCATAAAGTTTTCGAAGTATTTTACTATGTGTTTCTTTCCAAAAAAATGGAAAATTATTGTAATATCAAATGTCCAGTGATTTATTCTTCTTTGCAGCGCGTCATATTATTATTCGTCTTCTCCAGTTTATGGTTTTTCATGCCAAGAACCAATGGATGATCCGCGTCCTGTGTTATATCTCTGGGTTGCTTATTCTCAAGGGTATAATCTAATACATTTTGTTTTGATTAAGTTTATTTTTGATGTCCACTTATTGGACAATGTCCACCTAAGTAATGATATAAGTATTAATTTTATCAGTGTATAGTTTTTCAGTGCTTTTAATAGCGCTTGATTTATTTTATGAGGCTCATCGGTTTTTCAAAAAAAACTTAACTTTTACAGAAATTTTATATTTATCAAATCTGTTTGACGCTTCAAATCATTTGTCGATGAATTTCAGAAAACAGAAAAGTCCTCATGCGAAATTATTTGTGATTAATTTTCCAAATGATGAAGGACATTCTCCTAATGAATGGACTTTCAATGATCCAATGATTATAAATTACCTTACGGTAAGGGAGTTTGTTCATTTACTTTCATTTAATTTATTATATTTTCACTAACTAATTTCAAATCAAGCTTGGTATTTTTTAAAACCGTCGGCATCGCTTTTTGTTAAAAGATTTTCGGAAGTATGACATCAGTTCTGCTTTAATGAGATTATGAAATAATTTTGCAGTGGTGTCCTGAAAAGTGCACTGAATGGCTTTCTTTCCGAACTGTTGTATCATCTCCTTCCAGAGAAAATACTACAAGGAATAGCATTTCAGAACGGTAATTTTTTGATTAATGATCGATGTAATACTCCCGAGAGGAGAATAATGTTGCTTGGATTTAATGGTTTGAACGAACATATATTTCTTTAGAATTCGTTTCGTTATAGATTCTAGCTGGAAAGATTGAGGGTATTCCAGAATATTTTTATTTCTGAAAAATATCAATGGTATTCTGTTTCATTCTTAGGTAAACGAGTAAAATCGATAAAGTGAATGATATTGTCTAATGTTTAAAAGTATGTTACAGAGTATTGACTACCGAGGATTTATTACGTGTAAATATGATTGATACTTCTCGTGTGCTGATGACTTGGAAAACTACTAAGAACACTGTGGAGGTATTGATTAAGTAGATGCAGTTAATTTAGATTGAAATCAAGCGTCAGATTCATTTTTATTTTTCGTTCTCCCTTCTGTTTCAAGAACATTCAAAATCGTGTATTATCAAGAACTGTTCATTGAGTTTCTCTTACTTCTTTATTATTTAAATTGTAATTTAATACTAAGTAACTGAATAACATCACGCTGCATCTTTAACGTGGTTTATGAATCTATGTGAAATATATTTTTTAGGGTGCACTTTTTGATTTGAACGCCTTTTATTACAAACGATTACCGCGACAAATCACTTTTACAGAATCATTTCTGAAACTTAACTCTTTCCTATCATTGTTTACATTGCCGACTGTCAATGATCAACTGACTTGCCTTGTAAGTTTTTCTGCTTCGTCGCAGTTCTATATTATTTTTCTCATGGACTATCAAGGCGGTAGGCTATCGTTCGCCTTACCAAACAGATCGGTAAGCTGTAATGTGAATCCTAAAACTAATAGAAATGCTATCAGAATTCACTGACAAAAATCTCATTGAATTCGATTTTTCAAGGACTATTTGATAAATTATTCCGGTGTCTGGCAGCATCAAAGTCCATACAGCGAAACAAATGATTTTTTTATATTTGCACCATCATATTCATTCGAAATCATTGCATTTAACGGGAACCGCGAATTTACGATATTCGTTCCGTCTATACAGAAAGTTGTAAGTTTATCACATCTTTCAAAATTTTCAGAGTGATTAACCATTTATGAGATACATGTTTGAAAAAAAAAAACGCATTAGATTTTTGCGAAATACATGTTTTAAACACCGTTTTACATATTTATATTCTGACATTGTGCGTCCGCTTCACAGTTTTAGCAAACAAGGGGAAAGTACAACTTCAGCTGAAAAGATAATTCTTTAATTTTCCACATGAAAAGATGTTTTTGGACGTGCACTCATAAGATAGTATTACTAAATTAGTAGAGTTAATCTTTTTTTTTGAGATATCGGAGCTTAGAAATACTCTGTTGATGAATCGGCCTATTGGTTCTTAACTGCGTAGATAGTCGACCTTGGCGGTCAACGATTTTCTTCCAAAAGTCCCAGAAAATTGCGTTTACTCAATTATAACCACACATGCACCACCGTAATGTATTTATATGTAGGTATTAAAATGGCTAGATGAAAATTTCGAAGATGCAATTGGACAAAAGTCTGACCTCGCATGTGCATATTTGAATGCAGTTGGTCTTGCAAAAACACCTGTCGATATTTCCGAGAGTAGTCAAACATCAGCAGTACCGCTTGAAAATGTATTTTTTGAAATTTGTTTCAAAAAAATTGAGGATTTCAGTTTTACATTTGTGTTGATTTTTTAAATGATGCCACTTCCTTTATGAGAATTGAGGTGAGGTGTTTGTAGAACTCAGTAATGGAATCATTAGCTTATCTAGTTATCCAATATAGCCTATCTTGCACTTCAAGAGAGCAGACTGTAGTGGAAGCAGTAGTGTCAGTAGCACTCTCCAGTTAATGGTCCATGTCAATCATCTGAGCACTGAATCAAATTGATGATGACCAAGTTGTTTTAACAGGTTGCACAAATTGAATAATTTTATAATCAGGAATCAGTAATCATCTCATCACTGCTGTTCAATGGTGAAATCAATGATACACTCAAAAAGCATATTATCACATTTCAAAGCTACGATACCATCCATCAGATTGCTTCGCTTATATGGAAAGAAGTCGTTAATGCAAAACAAAGATTCGATGAACTTTGTCAGCTTTTATGATATTAATTTGCTATGAAATTTTAAATTATAAGTTTAGATCTTAACGGAATCAGATTTTTAGTTCTGTGGGTGCTCTAAGTTGCTAAATTCAACAATACAAATATAGTTGCAAAGACAGTACCAAACGCGGAAAAATTCAGTTCAAAGAGAATGAGAAGATACAAAGGAAATACAAAGATACAATTATATATACATACAATTATAAAAGATACTTATAAAAGATACAATTATATATACAGTTAAGTTGTCAGTGTTTTTATTATATTTTTGGAATATTTATTTTGCATGATTTATGCCGATTTTCAGCAGAGCCATGGTTTGATCGTATTCCGCGAGCATTATCAGCTGCAAACATGTACTGGTTGCGAAACAGTGCATCAATTTTTCATTGTGCTGCTGAACTGTTTGCTGAAATTTCGAAAAGAGTACCATCAGGTTTGTTGACTCCATTTCTTCTCAGTGCTTGGTTTGCACGACACAATTTCTCTAGTGGTCAGCTATGTGTCTTTCAATAACTTTCCTTATTATGGAAAAAAGGTTTTCATGTTTCGAAAAAGGTTGATTCCATCAGTTATTCGAGAAGAATATGAGGGAAGCAAATATTTTAGTTAAAGTTAAATGTGGAGGACTTTGTTTTTTGCAGAAAGGATTGCAGAAGCAACTACTTCGAATTATAATATGATGGCATCCAGAAATTTGGTTTTCTACACGAATATCGTGTTTCTTTTTCATCATGGTGGATTACTTCCAGTGAAAAATTACACTGCTCTTAATGCTCGTATGAAAGCAAAAGTGAATGAACGTAAAGAACGTTTAGCTCCTGGGTAAGCTCAGTGGTTAAATTTTGCTGAACAAATCAGTAGTGATTTTTTCACAATTTATATTCATTTTCTGTCTTTTTTCACCTTTCCCTTCCACAAAAATCGATCGGTGCAAATATTTAACCGTCAGACACTCTTTAAATGCCAGTTGTGTTGTGAACTTCCGGTTCAGTAGACGAAGCATCGTCATACTCAGCGGGAAGCCATTTGATTGAGACTCTAAACTGATGAATCAATAGGTTGATTAAAAGGAGATCTATTTCTTTATTTTCGCATCACCGATATCTCATACTCTCACCCCGCTATCACTGTCATTTTTCCTTTCAGCAGTAAGCTGTATATAGTAAATTTGCTGGAAGAAATGCAAAATGCTTGTCCTAATGAAATTTTTTGGTGTGGTCTAACTGCTGACGAATGGTACCCACCGAATTCAATTGCTGTGAGTTCTAATGATCTGGCCAACTTTTGAAGTTTAAGTATACAAGTTTAAGTATATATACTTTTGAAGTTTAAGTATATATAAGTAT